TTGCTCCAACATAGGCAGTTTTTCCCATATCTGGAGATTAGCTGAGTGAGCTATGCTCCATGCCCTCAAAACTTAAAATTTGGGGGGTAGACAGGAACGTAAGCAAGTAAAAGACGGAGATGCAAATTTTGCCTAAAGGTAATAATATTCACTACCATTGGTGCTGACACCTTTATAGGTACTGTATACATATTATTTCAATAAATCCTCACAACACCCTTTGAGGTGGGTACTATCATTAGTCCCGTTTCACCAATGAGAAAACTGTGACACAGAGAGGTTAAGTAACTCGCCCAAGGTCTCACAGCTATTTAAGTGGGGAACTGTGATTTGAACCCAACCTGGCTCCAGCTAGGGTTGGAGATAGACCTGGGTACCAGCTTGGGTTTCATCACGTACTAGCTGGCTCATCTTCGGCATGCTACCTACCTTTTCAGAACCTCAGCTTCCTAATCTATAAAATAGGGAATAATAATACCCACCTCACAGGCTTTTGTGAGGAGTATTAAACAGGATGATATTTGCAAAGTGCTTGCTCCCCGGGTCTTCAGCATGGCTAGCAGCTGCCATGAGGGGAACATACCTTTAAACACTTAAAACATTTTCCCCCCTAAGGTGATACCTTTTAACCTCTTTCCCTATGGAGGTACTACTTTTAATCTTCCACCACTTATGGAGGATTCAGCTCTGCAGGGCAGGATTTGGGGCTGCCGACCCATCCTCTTCCCTACTCTGCTATGTCTGAGGAGTAATAAGATGTCATTAGGTGAAGACATGGGAATAACAGCATCCCAGAGTAGTTGAACAACATTTTTTGAATTATTTATTGGTTGCCAGTCACATAGCAAGCACCATAAATAGGTGCTGTGTGACTAAAGCAATAAGACATAGCCCCAACCACAAGGAGTTCACAGCCCCATAGGGGAGAAGCACACATTTTTTAAAAAATTAAATCCCCAGCATATAATGTGGATAATCTGCTACCTGAAGCTGTTCAGGAGAGGCAGAGGCTCTGTGTCCAGGCAAAGGAACTCACCATCATGGTTCTGGCATTATGTGCCCTGCTCAAATCATTAAGCCACACTGGTCCTCCCCAGTCTGTGCTTTGTGAAATTCTCAGAGCATCCTTCTGCCTCTAGATCTTCAGTATGAAGCCAAGACACAAATACTTTGTTTTTGTGGTTCTCAAAAGCTCTAGGATAAGGCCTCCAATCACAGGGATTTTGCAAAGTCAAACCAGTATCTGTTATGAAGGTAATTGTTCGAGACATGGACTAGCACATTCTTTATCCTGAGGGGCTCAGCTCTGCTTTCTAGTAGAGACCATGTATTTGAAGAAATGTCAGGTTAGATTTTTAATGGTAGGGGAAATCTAAAGCAGTCACTGACACCTCAGAAGAAAGCTGGGTTAAGATATGATGGCCACTATGGAAAGAGCCCAGATGTCCATCGACAGATGAATGGATAAAGATGTAGTGTATATACACAATGGAATATATATACTACTCGGCCATCAAAAATATGAAATCTTGCCATTTGCAACGATGTGGATGGAACCAGAGGGTATTATGCTAAGTGAAACTAGTCAATCAGAGAAAGACAGTTATCTATGCTCTCACTCATATGTGAAATTTAAGAAACAAAAACAGAGAATCATAGAGGAAGAGAGGAAAAAATAAAACAAGATGAAATCAGAGAGGGAGACAAACCATAAGAGACTCTTAATCATAGGAAACACACTGAGGGATGCTGGAGGGGAGGGGGGTAGGGGAGGGGGTACCTGGGTGATGGGCATGAAGGACAGCATGTGATGTGATGAGCACTGAGTGTTATATAAGACTGATGAATCACTGACCTCTACCTCTGAAACCAATAATACATTATATGTTAGCTAATTGAATTTACATAAAATTTTAAAAAATAAACTTAGAAAAAATATAAGATATGATAACCACAACTTTTTTTTTTTTTGAGGAGGATAGAGCCAAGGGACTAGACACAAACACTGAGGCTTTCTGAGTTTAGTTCTTAGCACCCGCTCCCACTCTGCCTAAAAAGGTGATTTCCTACTTATTCTTGAATTTTAGAAGTTAAAAACTTTGACAAACTTTCAGCCACTCAACCCCTTTTAGCTACTGGCTGAGTAACAAAGGGCCACAACAATCTCAGTGGCATTCAACAATAAATATGTATTTCTTGCTAATATATCTGTGAGGCAACTGGGGTGTCTCCTCCATGTGTCCCGTACTGGGACAAAGGCTGGAGCAGTGTACCCAGTGTATACTCTTTTTTTTTTTCTAGATTTTATTTATTTATTCATGAGAGACACACACACAGAGAAGCAGACACAAAGGCAGAGGGAGAAGCAGGCTCCATCCAGGGAGCCCAATGTGGGACTCCATCCCAGGGACCCTGGGATCACCCCCTGAGACAAAGGCAGACGCTCAACTGCTGAGCCACCCAGGCATCCCCCCAGTGTATACTCTTGCCATGACATTCATAGAAACACAAGAGGACAAGACCAACCAGACAAGCACACACACCATTTCCTCTGCTCACTTCATATCCACCAGCAATCCCACTCACTGACCAAAGCAAGTCACATGGCCAAGTCCAATGTCAAGAATCAAAGAAGTACATCTTGCTAGGAGGCCATGGGTCATGTGGGTGTATAAAATTACCAATGAGGAGGAAAGAATGAGAACCAGTAATCCCCCTTACAGCACTTTCTAAATAATCCTGAAAGGGAAGCATTAGAGGCTCTGTTTTTTTTCTTGATTGCTCAAAAAACTGAGCCTCCAGAATTTAAATCATTCATCCAGGTCAGACAGCAGTATGACGCTCTAGCAGAATTAGAATTCAAATCTCCTGCCTTCTGTGCTTTCCAGAGTGATGTAGCTTGCTGACATGTAACTAGCAGGCATCTATAATAATCACATCCCTTAATTATGTCCCCTTGTGGATATCAGTTCTCTCCAACAAAGGCCAGACACAACATTGTCCCATCTGTTAGCACGATCATAGTGTTTATCACTTGTTTAGGACCTTCTGCAGTGTTTTTACAAGCTATTTTTACTATTACCACACTAATAAATTATTTATGGTGGGAAACCTGAATCAGAAAACTCTGGCTACTTGAAAACAGACTTTATTAAAAACATCTCCTTCCCCCTCCAACATGCACCCTCCTAAGGCACACACAATTATTTTGCCTAATCTAAGCCTTGAAGACTGCAGAGTCTGTGGAACAGGAGACACTTGTAGATGGCTGCAGAGGAAAGAGTAGGGAGGGATCAAGTTCGAAACTAATTCTTGGGCATGGGATTTTAACTGGCAGCGATTGCATCGTGCAACCTAATCACCCAACAGACCAGAGTATGAAGCATCATAACTAGAAGTCATGAAGGGCAAGATGCTACCCCGATGCCAGCAGCCCCCCACATCCATTCACCCATTCGTACAACGAGTAGTTTATTGAAGGTCTGCTTTGGGCCTGGCGAGGTGCTGGGACGCCCCTTGAACAAGACCGACCAGCCCTGAAGGAGTTTACACTGTGCGGAGAGGGACGGAGGGGGATGGATTGTTACAAACAAAAAAAGTGACAGTGAACAGGGTAATCTCAGATTGTACTTAGGGTTGTGACGGAGCTAGCCTTGCCACCCTGGGTAAATCAGCGGTCTAAGCCGCTCTGGGCTCTCAGTGCGCTGGTCGGGAAAGCCGTGCACCCCCGCACTGGCCGCTCCCCGGCTGAAGACGACGCTCGGGTTAGGGAGCTAGTGCGTGAGGCTCTGGGCACCCGCGCCCCGGCAGGGCCTGCTCCCCAAACTTCCTTTAGAGCCCCCAGCGCGCGGGCCGAGGGCCATTCGGGGCCCCTCTCCCTTAACGCTCACCAAAACCAGACCAAAGTCGTGGCCGGCAGTTCCCGGAGAGGCGTTGACAGCCCCGAGGATGCCGAGCAGCCGGGAAGGAGAGGAGGGTGCGGCGGTTCCTCAAAACAGAAGGTCGGGGGGGGGGGACCCCAGGCGTCCGCGCTGCGCCCTCAGGGTGCGAGGGGGGAGAGGCGGGGGGAAGGGAGGGCAGGGGGCCCCCCATCTCCGCTCCCACCCCGCGGGCACAGAGGCCGCCCGGCCTCCCGGTCCTTCTCCTTCCTTTGCCAGCCTCGGACACGCGCCTGGCAGCGGACTCGGCAACGACAGTTTGGGAGCTGGGGGCGCTATGCACCCCACCCCCGCCGCCTCGCAGAGCCGGGTTGAGGCGCGGAGGGAGGCCAGGAGGCTGCCGTCCCCCTCCCCCCGCTTCCCTCCCCCGCTCGCGACGGGCGGCTCGGGCTGCGGGGCCCCCTGCGACACCTCGGCTGCGGGGTGGGGGTGGGGGTGCGATCCCTCCCCTCCCCCCGGGTCGCGAAGGGCGGCTCGGGCTGCGGGGCTCCCTGTGACACCTCGGCTGGGGGATGGGGGTGCGATCCCTCCCCTCCCCCCCCCGGGTCGCGAAGGGCGGCTCGGGCTGCGGGGCCCCCTGCGACACCTCGGCTGCGGGGTGGGGGTGGGGGTGCGATCCCTCCCCTCCCCCCCCGGGTCGCGAAGGGCGGCTCGGGCTGCGGGGCCCCCTGCGACACCTCGGCTGCGGGGTGGGGGTGGGGGTGCGATCCGTCGTCCCTCCCCCTCCGCCCGGGAGCGCCCCAGACGCCGCTGGGCCTCGCTCCTGCACCTCGGCGGCAGCTGCGCCCTGGGGGCGGGGGGCGGGGGGCGGCGGGAGCCCCGGCCGCTCAGCGCCGCTTCAAGTTTCCACCGGCGCGCGGTTGTGCAACAGCCCGGGGAGCGGGAGCCGCGGGCGCCTCGGAAAACAAGCCGAGCCCATAAACAAAGCCACGTGGGCTCGCGCGGGGGGGCCGGGCTGCGAGCAGGCGGCTCTTCCGGCAACAAAGGGCCGGGGCCCGCCGCCCGGGATAAATAGCGCGGCCGCCACCGCGGCGCAGCACTCCGGCCAGCCCCGCGCCCCGCGCCCCGGCCCCGCAGCGCCCGGCCCCTCAGCGCCCAGACCCCGCAGCGCCCAGACCCCGCAGCGCCCAGACCCCGCAGCGCCCCGGCCCCGCAGCGCCCCGACCCCGCGGCCGGTCCCCAGCCCCCGCCCCGAGGCCGCCCAGCCGCTGCGGCCCCTCCGCCCGCCCGCCCGCCCGCCCGGTGGGTCGGTCCCGTGGCTCGGTGCCATGCCGTTCCTCGGGCAGGACTGGCGGTCCCCCGGGCAGAGCTGGGTGAAGACGGCCGACGGCTGGAAGCGCTTCCTGGACGAGAAGAGCGGCGGCTTCGTGAGCGACCTCGGCAGGTGAGTGCATCCGCCACCGACCCCCAGACCGAGCCGGGCTGGTGGGGGCCGGGGGGGCGCGGGGCAGGTGAGTGCGGGGGAGGGGGCGGCGGGACTGCAACAGGATGAGGAGGGAGCCCCGGGCCGAGAGGTGGGGTGCGGGGTGCACGGCGGGGGGTGCAGTTGACCGGGTTTCTGCAGAGGTCGGTCGCCAGAGCCGGGGATTTGGGGAATTTGGTTTCTCCTGTTCAAGGTCAGCGACTCCCAGCGGGCACCACCCCCGTCGCTCTGAGCATCCGACGACGAGCGCGGATCTTGTCCGCAAACGTCCGAACTTAAGCACACAAGTTCGGGGGCCCCCGCCTTAGGGACACGGGCCGCGCAGCTTGCTGTGCGGGGGCGCGGGCGAGTGGGTGCGCGCCTGGCCCCGCGGGGCGGCGGGGCTCGGGCACCCCAGCGCGTGGGCACAGCGGGCGCCGCGCCGGGACCCGGGGCCAGCGCCTCCAGGCTCTCCGCAGGCACCGGCGACCGCGCAGCGCGCAGCGAGGATGCGTAGCCCGGAGGGGCGGCCGGACGGTCCCCGGGGCACCGGCGCTTGCGGGGCGGGCTTGCGGGATCTGGGTACAGACTCGGGGTGCCGCGCGGCGGGGAGGGAAGGGAGGCGGCACGGCAACCCACAAGCTGCCGCTGCGGGCAGGACGAAGCGCTTGCACCTGTTTCCTCGGCGGCCCTTTCGGTGGGCGTCCTGCCCGAAATAAATTCGAGGGACGCGCATCAACTGCGAAAAGCCCGCTTGGCTCACGGGAGGTCCCACCTGAGCTCCGTCAGTCTGGTGGAAAAATCCGAGTTCCGCTCGATCCGGGGCTCCGCTTGGTTAGGAACACCGGACTGCTCGCTGTCTAGTAAGTTCACTGGTGTGGAATCGGTCAGTCCGGGTCCAAACAGCCGACTTCCAGACCCCTGCCATGTGGCACAGGTGAGAAGAGCAATGAGAGTGGGCCCAGGGGAGATCAGTGCAGCCCAGTCATCCGTGGGTGCGTTTTTGTGAAGCCTTTGGTCAAAACCACTGGCGACCAGAGTCCTTAAATTGATTTTGGTGATGTCTGTGACTGGACAAGGCTTGTGCTTATTGAGATTTACCAGTGATTTTTTTTTTTTTTGGATGAGCCCCTGGCACTCAATTTTACGGAAATTATCAAGAAAGTATGGTTATTTTGATAGCTTGACCTCCAGAGCCCCCCCCCACCACCAGCTGTCTGTGATTTGTAAAGCATTAAACAACTTTAGTCTTCCAATGAAAAAACAAACAACAACAAACCTAAAAGGATTTAATCCTGGGGGGGGGGTCTGTCAGGAAAAATGTCAGGAAAAATGAATATATTTCACATATATAACTTATGTGAAAGATACTTCAAGGCAGTGCCTGTGGAGTTTGTGGAGCAAATGAGGAATCTTATTTATGGAAAATCAGATAACTTACTTATAGAAAAATGACCAACTGCTGTCACTAGACTCTGCCCTTTTAGGGATGCAAATTACCAATTCTGTCTAAATTTTTCTCCTTAGACTAGAAGCTTCCTTCCTTCCTCCTCTTTCCTAAGGAAAGATAATCTGAGAGTTTGGTATTGTGTTTCTGTGCAACAGTTCAGATGCTTTCTGCAGAGATACAGCAATGATCTGCTGAATGGTGTCGCAGTGGCTCACCCAAATATAATTATGGGATGATATTCAGTAGGATACAGACCACTAGGCTCTGCAGGAGAGGATTCAAAATACAGAGCCTCTGGTTCAAATAAATATTCACACTGTATCTACTCCAGGAGATAACCTGGTATCACTCCCCTTGAGAAGCGAATAGTGGTGCCTCTCTTGCTATAGTATAGGAGACCTGAAGATGGTTTTAACTTACTGTAAAAGTTTAACCTAGGCTGGGGTCCGGTAGCTTCACACCCCTCTATCCCCTTCATGAGCCTCCTTTCTTTCCTCCCATTTCCTGCCTTCTGAGCCAGAGCTGTGGCACTGCCACATTATCACAAATGGTGATCAATATAGTGACCACCTGTGGTTCTGGAATGAGTCAGAGTTTAGGAATCATTTGGTAGCTCCTTGCAACGCAGCTGGCTGTTTGTTTGTGGAGTATTTTTTTTTTCCTCCACCAATTGTAAACAATCCCTTCCCTACTTAGCATGAGAAGTCTGCCAACTTCTTAAAAGCAGTTGGCCTTCTGAGACCTAGGTTTGTAGTCTCAAATATCCCCACTGTTTTTAGCCTTGGTGATGTTTCTCTGTGATGTAAGGTTTGGGCTGAAGGCCCAACTGCACAGGTGAAGTTGAATGCCTCTCCTGTTAGGAGAAAACAAAAGGCAGACCCTTTCAAAAGAGGAAGGAATGAGTAATAAAACAGAGGACTACCAAGGCATGGTACTCTTCTCTAATCCCATGTACCATTCTGTCAGCTGTCTGAGCAAGAGTGGGGAATGAAGGGTGCCTTTGGTGTGTTCCGACCTGGGAACAGTGTTTAATGTTGACCGCAGCGTGTCTGCACAGCACACCTTCTCTGGACTCTGCTGGCCGCTGTCTCTGTCTCCCTCCAACAGCAGAATGGTGCAAAGCCCATCCCAGCTACATGCCCTGAACAGAGATCATGGCAGAATGTAGGATGCGCTTAAAGCAGTACCCCTTGTTAAAAGGTGGAAACAGCATAAGACGGAAGACAAATTTAAATTTGGTGGGCAGATGAAAAATTCGAGGAAAGAGCTTGGTGTGAATTTGGGGTAGTCCAAGGATGCTTCAAGGATGTGGTGGAGGAGACACCCCCAAGCCCCTATCACCAACAGCCCCCCTGCCTCACCCACCCCCAGGATGAATAATCCCAGTGATGTGAGCCTCAGGCCACTCTTCCCCAAATCTACAGTCCTGCAGTTGGAATCTCCAGTGTTGCTTTCCTGTATAGCTGAGGCTGAACCAGGAAGCAGGAAGTTTACCTTAGTACCCTAGATGAGTAGTACAGGAGATAAAAATAATAGTTCAGATTTTTTATGAGTGTATACCGTGTGCAAGGAAGCCACATGAGCTTCATATATGAGGTTGATGGTTTTACCAGAACAATCCGGGCACTAGCCCAGGGAGTTTGACAATTTGGCCATGTATTGGAGCAAATTAGCACAGAAATCTCACTGGCCTTACTCTACAACTAAGCCCTTTGGAGCAGGCCACAGCTTTCTTAAATGGCCTGTTATTGCAAACAAAATGAGAAATAGGTCTCTCTTTCTCCCTTCCATCCTTTTTATCTCCTCTGCCCAAATGGTCTTAATTCTGAAATCTTTCCACCTTTTCTAAAGTTGTGTTTCAGTATCTTGGTATGTGCATGTTGATAGATACAATAGGGCTGGGAGAGGTCTTTTCTCTTATTCTAGGCCTGTGACTTTATAAATCAAGATTAGTCAAAATTGACCACGAAATAGCAACTGTAGTGGCTATTATCAAATTTAATGAAGAAATGGAGCCTTTAAGAAAAATTAAATGTCATGGTTCCTAAATGGTGCTGGCTTTTCTTGTTAAAATTTTCAGTTGTAATTTTCAGTCAGCTTTGCAGTTCCTTGAAATGGACATAACTGAACTCTCAAAATAGCCTCTAACTGAATATATTCTTGCTTGACAGAAAGCATATACGCTGGCAATGCAAATCTTACAGTTCTTGCTTCCAGGCCCTACCTCTGGAGGCCACAACCTAATCACCAAGAGAAAAGTGCAGGTTTTGTCTTTGGTTGAGGCTTTTCTACATTCTTCTCAAAGAACATCATCAGTGATGTCAAATTCTTCTTAAGCTACCTGGAAATGTGTCACTTGGGCTTAAGGCAGATTATTGCCATTTCTATAAGGAAGGCAGGTGCTCAGATTCCTTTGAGTAATGTTCTCAATTAGAAGAGAGTAAGATAAACTGTAAATCTTTAAGATTTCTGGGGAATGGCCACGATCTATGGCTCAGCCTCCGAAAACTTTCCGCTGAATCTCAAATGTGTGATTAAAGAGAATAAGACTGCTCACTTTATGGCTCTCTGCTGGTGGAATTTGGACTCTAGGCCTTCGTTCATGGTGCCAGGAGTGTGTTTTCTTTAAAAATGAGCCTTCACGTGGCCTTTTTACATGCAAAAGGTTATAACCTTGCTTTCTAAAGCTGTTTTTAGCCTCGGTATATCATGGACCAGTCAAGTGCCCTCCCATCTTTTTCTGTTCTCAACTTTGATTAAAATTTCTTGTTGGCTCTAAGAACTCAGAGTTCATTTCTCCCTTAGTACTGTCCGGCTTTCCTGCTGACCTGGGAGCAGATAACGGGCTGGTCAGTGGTTCTGTACACGATAGTGGTACAAGTAGACAAGCACATGCTCCTGGGTGACACGAAGCCTGGCCCAAACATTCACCCTTGGCTTACTTAAGAAACTGTCTCTAAGAGAGAGCCTTTCTGCAGTAATCTCTGTGAAACCTAAAAATATCCTGTTTCCCCCAAATGATTAGATGAAGGCTATAGATACTAGGAAACTCAATAAATGGTATTAAATATGGTCTTGTTAGGGCAGATTAACAAATGATTATCCATCCAGCTCATCCCTGTGGGCCCAGAAACACTGAGTATATTGTTGGTAATGTCTCGTGTAAGCATTTAGGTAGCAGGATACTTATTGAAGTGCTGTTTGAGAGACTTGTGCAACAACCAGATACTGGAAATTGTTGTAAACCCTATTTTCTCTTTTACCATTTACATAATGTCCGTGGAATGGAGAAGTGCAGGTGTATCCCGTATTACCAAACAGATGTATGTCAGAAAGAGATACAAAGCAAATCACATTTTAAATTCAGTGGAGGAACCCCCAAAATTAAAGGACTCTGATATATTGGTGATCTAAGAAAAAGCCCCTAATGTACGTTTTACCAGTGGCATTATAAATCCTGCCTTGCACATCCATACCCATGGGGTTTGGGGAATCTACTCACTATACCTCAATATATCTCCAGCATCTCTTCTACGGAAGCACTTCAGAGATTTGCTTTAAAGTCACGTGGTGGAATAGGATAGAACTCAGTCCCCTGAAATGATAGTTCAGCCTATCCGAACTATCGGAACGGAAATATGCACTTGACCCAAGCTGAACCCAGGAACCCTGCAGTGACCTGTGAATTGGGCAGTTCTCTTTTCGGCTGTTCTAAATGTACAAACTGTGAATCCAGCCAGTGTCATTTAGGAAGAAGGGTCTTCACCTCGCAGCATGACACTTAGTGTTAGTCACAGAATTCTATAAAACCTAAACAATTAGCACTGTGCATTAAACATCCCTTAGAAATAGTGTGTAAGTCAGATTTTGGCAAATATCCTGTTTTAAAGTCATGATAGAAGCATGCTAGTTAAAAGCACCTCGGGTACACTTTAAATGGGTGGATTGTATGGTATGTGAATTATATCTCCATAAAGCTGGGGGTTATTTTAGAAAACAGCTTAGGGTGGATGCTTTTGCAAAATGAAGGCATTGTGTACTACAGTGATACCAGTAACCATCCCTCTCCCTCCCCCTGCAGTCATCATTTTTGCTTAAAGTAATATTGTAGTGCCCAGCATTGCCCCAAGTTAAAGGGTGCAGAGCTGTGTGTCACACACAATGGCAGGCACTGTTGGGATTTCAAAAGACGCAGAAGCCCCCATCCCTGCCTTTCACAGAGATGTGATAATATCTCATCCCCAAAGAGGGAGGCCTGTGCCCGAATAGACTTCGTTTCAGGGGGGTTTACTGTTTTGTTTGTGAAAATGTACGTTTGTGTTTTATAACCCAGTAAGCTATTTATAGAAACCACTCTGATTAAAGTATAGCTGTCACAGCTCATCCCCTCTTCTGTTATCCCTAGTTACTGCAACAAGGAAGTATACAACAAGGAGAATCTTTTCAACAGCCTGAACTATGACGTTGCAGCCAAGAAGAGAAAGAAGGACATGCTGAATAGCAAAACCAAAACTCAGTGTAAGCCATTTGTTTTTGAACTTAGAAGAAAGCTGCTTGAGGATCATTAGGATTGGTTCTTTGAGGGGGAAAAAGAAAAATCTGACCTCGAATGTTAGACATCTGCTTTAATGTTTACTGTGTCATTGACAGAGGTTACTGGGCTCTTTGCACTCAGAGGACTGGCTGTGCATTTTACAAGCAAGATTAACGCGTTCTTTATGGTCTTGTTTATAAGTCAGTTGGTAGTTGGGGTGTTTTTCTTCTGCTTGTCACTTGTATTTGATGTAGTTAATTTAGTTATTATCCAGTGATATGGTCAGCTGAATCAGTGCCAGCATGTGCTTTTATTTGGCACTGGGCTTTGAGGCTTTGGAAATAGATTTGTTTCTCCCTCTTTCCTTGTGTAAATACTATTACATCTCTAGATGCCGAATGTAAGAGTATCAAGTTCTATTAATAAGCAGGAATTACAGATCTTTAGTTTAATCTACCTGTACAACATGATTTCTTCCTGTTATCTGCTTTATTTCTATTTTTTATGGCCTTGTAGTAGTTATAGGCTTGGCATTTAAAACAAACTTATACTTGGGTATTTGATTTTTTTTTTCAATTTGGAGCTTTGGTCTACTAAATCTGATGATCAAAGACTTGGAGCACTTCAGACCAAGTAAGCTATAATTCCAGTATGTATGTATACACCGCAGAAATTAGGCATTTGCATCTCTTAGATTGTCAGTAGAGTCTTTGTCTTTTTTGTCAAAACATTTTATACTTTGAAATACATGAAAAAGAAGCAAGTTTAAAATTCGGAGCATGTTGCACATTTTAAAGCTGTGGGGGGATTTGTTTTAAATTTTTATTTATTTTTTTGCCTGTGTAGATTTCCACCAAGAAAAATGGATCTATGTTCACAAAGGAAGTACTAAAGAGGTGAGCATCCATCTATTTATTAAAGAATATCTCTTAGCTTTATGCCTCTCCCAACAGGGTAGGGAGGAAAATTAGGCAAGAATATTATTTCAAATTGTGGCTGTCATCTTGGGTGCTGGTGGTGGTGGCAAGCAGCCACCAACCTACCCAACCATCAGAATTTAGGGCTACAGAGTGAGTGATAAGCAAAATCACTAAGTGGACTCCCTAGTCATTTGGTGAGATTCTGTATGTAAAAGAGCTTTATAAAGATTAATATACCCATCTCAGATGTATTATTGTAAAGCACTGGCCTTCCCCCCTCCCCCCGAACAGTGCCTCTCTTTGATTCTGAGATAGCTTCAGACTCCAACTTTGTGAAGTTTTAGCCCTAGAAGAGCTAATCCCTAAATACTGCAGAAGTTTCAGTGCCTGCACAGGGGACAAGACACTGTAATTAGTACATTTGCGTGGCACTTCATAAAACCCTTTTACATACATTTTCTCTCTGCACAGGCATCTGCTCAGAGAGCTGGGATACAAAGCAGTATGGTAGAGGCTAGAATTTCTCTGTCAGGGACCTTGATGAATATGTACATCCCTATGTGGGTTGTGGCCCTGCAGGGGGTCAAGAACATACCCATGACTACCCAGATACTTGGAGTTGGGACAGAATCAGGACTCTCTGCTCCCACTTCCTCGTGTGTTCACGGGTAAAGGATCAAAACTTCTTTTTGCTTCCTCATGAAGCCTTATAAATGCTTCTGATGATCACAACGAGAAAAGCACTAAAGATACGAGGCAAGGTGGCAGGCACAGTTGACACAAGGAAGTCTAATTCTCCTCCCATTACATCCCAACTCCTGACCTTTCCTTGATCAGCAACTATTTATGATTTCCCCATTCAAGTTTGTGCAAGGGCTCAAGTGGTACAAATCATGAAGAGGGGTGTTTAACATGTGAGTCACTGACTAGAGCAACTGCTGTCTACACTGCGCATCTTTGTGGCTCGCAGGGGGTTCCCAGAAAGGGCTTATCATGGCACAGGAAAGCAACAGATGGCCACAGGTTCCCTATGACAGCCATCCAGTCTTGTCAGTAGAGTCCAGGTGGATTGTTCTGGAGAATGACCTCTGCACCCCCTGTTTTCATGTCCAGCGCCATGGATATTGCACTTTGGGGGAAGCCTTCAACAGGCTGGACTTCTCAACTGCCATTCTGGATTCCAGGAGATTTAACTACGTTGTGCGGGTAAGTTTCTGTAGGTTACCAGAGTCTCAGCTGAATTGTCTTTCAGGTTGTCTTGAGGTAGTTTCCTGCCCCTGCCCCCCAAATAACTTCTTGGGACTCTAGGAATTTGGAACAGAGCAGAAAACAGACTTCTTCCCTCCCCTCTCTCCAGACCTACTTCAGGTCCTTATGTGGATCCCATTAGGATGTGTCCCTGAGCTTGGCTGTGACAGACAGGAATGGCCATAATCCTATCTCATGTGAGCACCCCCACCCCCCCCACCCCCCACTCTCCACCATGGATAAATGGGACTACGCTGCAGGCACCAAGAGCTCTGGCAGCAACATTAGCAAGGGAGAACTCAGTCCTAAGCAATCTGAAAACTACCATGGATTGTTTTAAAAACCTTCTGTACCTCTGATTGTTCTCATTGTCCTCCTCCTTGTCATGCTTTAGCGGACTCTAGGTGACCCCAAGGCATTCTTGGTTGAGGCTACAAAACCAGAGGAGTTCAGAGCACTTGCCCATGCTTCTTTCCCATGACTCCCTTGCACCCCACGTGATGACATATTGGGTCTCGCATTCACCTAGTCACCTAAAGCTTGAAACTACCTGTTTGGGCCAGTTGCTTTCCATTTGAAACCCTGTGTTGGGAAGAAAAAAAATTTTAATGAGCTTTAGTGAAATAGTCACGATAGACGTAGTCAAGCAAATGAGTCTAACCATGCCGTTCAAGTCCGTGATCCTTTTTAATTGATTTATTGTTGTTTTCTCCCCCTTGACTCTCTTGCGCATTTCTGTCCATGGTCAGAATGTCTGTGTCTCCCTCTCCTCCTGGGGAGGTGGCAGCTCTTTGGGTTTTCAGCTCAGAAGTAAGTGGGAATTTACCCACGAGGGGTGTTGGTTGGTTGGGATTTTATTTTCTTTTTCCTGGGTTGTTGTGCTTCACAGCACTGGGTCACTGAGTCAGATGATTGCCACGGCCCAGCCAGAACGATGACATTCAAGCCCCCTTGAGGCCTGGATCATTCACCTGTCATCTGGGCAGATGCAGGCCTGGCTGTCCCAACTGACCTGATACACAGGCCCCCTTGCAGGTTAGGAGCTCTGGGCTGAGCCTCTGACCACATAAGCTGACCTGTCAGCTCTCAGCTGAGCCCTTACTCCAATCCAAAAGGGATGAAAATAAGAGGCCTTCTTGATGAAATGTTTGTGTCATTCAGTATGACTGTGCCACTTCAGAGAGATCTCTGTGGCCTGCAACCCAGCCCAGGCTGGTTGGAGACAGGCCCAGCAAGAGCTGGAAACTCTGTTGCTAAGAATATGAATAGTTTCCATGTCCTAGGTGTCAGAGGAGGACACTCAGTTCTGATGTCTTAATTACAAACTAATCAGCTAAAGGGTCAGTTTTTAGATGGCTCTCCTTCCTACCTGTTTTTCCTTTCACAAGAAATAAAGCACAGGAACAAGATCCTAACAGCAAAAATCTATTTTTTGTGTAATTACATGTATTCACCTTTATCCTTTCGTTGACCCTATGAAGTGTGGGTACTTTGATGATCTGTTTAAATAGATGGCAGTACAACAAGGTAAAATGACTTGTCCAAGGTTACAAAGCTACATAAGCAATAGAATCGGAATCTGAAATCGGGTCAGTCTCAGAGTTCTTACTCTCAGATGCAAAGGATCAAAGGAACAATGGTCCAAGGTCAGGCGCAGCTCCACTACTCTCCAGCTATTTCAGCTTCTCAGACTCCGCTGCCCCTTCTATTAGGACTTAGAACAACCTCACAGGGTAGCTGTCTATCAGTAATGTATTCTATGTGGAGATACCCTGCAAACCAGCATCTGTTATTCAGAGTCAGCTACTAATACTTATTATCACCTACTAACCAAAATTATTACTAATTCTTCCCAATATGCCTTCTCAGGCCAGTTGATAAATGTTTTTCCCTTAAAAAAAAAAAGGAAATTTTGCACTTGATAAAGACCCATCATAGAGAGCTTGGATCTGATAGTATCTAATTGTAAAATATGAGGACTTTTCCTTATAGAATATTTAAGTTAGAGAAACTGCTAACTGCTTTCCGAGTTGTCAGGTTCAGCAATAGTGGAAAATATTTCTGTTTTGGAAAGAACAATCTTTTTTCCCCCTCACTGTTAGAATCCTCTATAATTTGAGAAATAATGTTATTTTTTTAAAGAGCTTAAAACATTTTAATGATAGGCGCTGCGTTTTGAGGGTTTTCTTCTAACAGACCCCATGCACATCTCAGATATTCTTATCCTCAAGCCAACTTTGCAAAGTAGCTCGCCAGTATGCCTTCCCATCTTACTACTTCCACCTAACAGTTTCTTAATTTAGTACTAAAGTGATACCTTGGTCCAGTGAACAACTGAACCAACTTTGAAGGCATTAAAAAAAAAAGCCTTTTAATCTCTTTAAAGCCAAGTACATTTTTAAAAAATGTGCTGTATTCATCTTGGCTATCATCTTCAGAAACAGACAATGCAGAGGGAATAAAAGAGAGGGCTAACACCGCTATCTCTGAATTTTATAACTTTTATCAGTAAGTATGAAGATTTTGTGGAATTTTTGGAATCAAAAATTTTGAATATAAACTGGAAAGGTTTTCATAGAACATTTGTATCTTATTTTAATAGGCTTCAGATTATACACACTGCCTTCACCTCATTTTCTACATACCTCCAATGGCTTAAATACAATTTTAACTATGGGATTTAAGAAGACTTAAAATCTTTAGAGGCAACAACTTACCCATTTATGAAAGGTCATTTTAAAAATCAGTTTACACCATGCCTCAAGACCAACACATTTTGGAAATTCCCCTGGGGAGCTGGTGAGGATTCCAGAGGCAGGGCTGGTGTGGGGTTGGCCTTTGGTCACCACAAAGAGGTGAGTGCTGATTAAATCAGCCAGGGCACAGAGAGGCCAGTGAAGAAAGTAGGTCTCCAGTAAACCAGGAGAGGGCTTTGAAGACCACACACCACCTCATGGCTCTCTGAAGCAAGCCTGCTATGATCCACTGGTTCACATTTGAACTGGCTGCACCTTAGAAGTACCTGCAAAGCTTGTTGGTCTATAGAAACCCACCTCTAGAGCATCCAGTTTAATTAGTTCAAGGTAGTGGCCACACATTGCTACCTAAATTTGTCCGTCAGGTGATCCCTGTGTTTTCAAGTTTGAGAACCGGCTCAAAAAACTATTGGGAGCCCAAATGCCATATTTTGCATGCTGTGTTTTTTAGCAAGATACAATGAGGTACATTGGCAGGAGAGGATTTTGATGCTTTAATGCCAGGATGACCTCTGACCTGGTCTTCCAGCTCTCTCCATGGGCTTTAGATGCCACCTCCAGACCAGCAAGGTCCTAGAGAACCTTGAGAACCACTTCCTGATTGGAACAATGTGACCCATATGTGCTAGCAGATCAGAAAGGACAAGCCAATACTTGCAACCCCATTCCCTAGCCCTCTGCAGCAAAAAAGAACATCACAGCCTAAACCAAGGCACATTCTTATTTTTTTCTGCATTACCACCCTAAGACCATTTGAATGTTTCCAGCAAGTTACTGCATTCCTACCACCCCTAAAAGTCTTTTCCAAAAACATGTTTTAGTTTAAGTTGACTGGCGGTTTGGCAAGGAAAAGGCTGAAATATGGCACTATGACTCAAATTCAAACCCAATGCCTTAAATTAAGGGCATGCTGTTGCCAACCCCCTGGTGGGTCGTGATGTGCCTGAGAAGCCTGGCCCCTTCACTAGGTTCCTTGGCCACAGTGACCTTGAATTAATTTGGCACTGCACAGATTCGGCGCCTTCCTTGGATGGAAGGTGGCCCCTGCCACCTGGGTCTTAAAACCGGGGGTTCTTTTTCCATTGGGACACAGAAGTTGTTGCCTCTAAAGATTTTAAGGTGGGATGGAGGGAAGGAGGCCAGTCACCCCAAAGGCAACAAAGTCAAAAGAACAGAGCTGTGAGCCTATTTGAGAAAGTTTCGCAGAAACGGTTGGGAATTGTGAGAATCCACCGCAGGGTATTAACATTAGAGGGCACAGGGTGGGATCCTTCCGTGAGTGTTGATTAGGCTGCCAGTGATTTTATAGGAGAAAGTCTGTGTCTGTTAGATTTCATGGCTTTCAGTTATAACAAGCATTCAGGCAAGCAGATCCTGCAATATCTGGGTACCCAAAGACATGAGGGTATGCCCTCAGAAGTGGAGGAAGCATACACAGAAGTAGGGAGCTACCTGAGAAAGCAGGGGTGCCTGCAGAAATAATGGGGTACGTGCAGAAGCGGGAGGGTACCCACACACGTGGGGAGCACCTGAGAAAATGAGGGATGGCCAAGAGCCCAGAACAGTGGTATTTTGACCCTTGGCTCCTAAACAAATGGTGTAAGCATGTACTTTCAATTTCTCTACGTTCATAAATTCATGTGTGAATCACATCCCTATAAAAGGTGCTAACAATGGTATCTGTCCCGTCATGTTGCTCAGAGAATCAAAACTTAATTTAAATGCTTTTCAGCAGTGCCTGGTACATGGTAAGCACTCGATGAGAATCACTGTTGCCATTAACGTCCTCATCTTTCGAATCCTCATTACAGGCATTAGAAAACACACAAATAGAAAAATGATAGGAATAATAGAGACGAAATAAAATGGAGAGATTGGCGTTTTACAGTTTTTCTGCCTGTCTGCCTCCCCAGTCCCACTTTGGAGACCACAGAATCAGAGCTTTTCTCAAGGACTCAGAATCTAAACCTTATCCCACCATGGGCCCGGAAATATATTTTATATAAAAATTATGTCTAGTTTCTAGGTTTAAGTTAGGTGCTTACTACCCAAGGGGATAGGATAAGTTGGACAGGTGAGCTGAGGTGGTTTTTATTTGTTTATTTTTTAATCTCACTGTATTTTTCTATGAGTGCTTTTTCTGTTCCAGGTTCCAATCCAGGATCTTATGCTGCATTTAGTGTTGTTTTAGTTTACATATCC